AGTTCATCTCATGCCTGCTGCTCCAGCAACTAGGAGTCCTACTCAACCAGAGGAGCAGGAAGTTTGGAAGTTAGCTTGGGCGTACGTGAGGGCAGAGTAGTGCACGCAAGGGATTTCAGACAACTGCAACTCTCCTTTGATCCCTGAGAAGGATTCAAGATGTGTAAACAAAAAGGAGGGAAAAAGAAAGAACCAGAATGCAAGCAGAATTCAGAATTAAAGTAAGAACCCCATCAATTTCTGATTGTCAGTTCGAAACATTCAGAATTACTACACTCATGTCTAAGCCAAAAGAAAGGAGTGAAAATACAAACAGGAAAGTCCTTCCTGAGGTAGGTACTGCAGTCTCTGGTGGAAGGGCCAGAATAAAAGTAGGACCATAAACTGTGTTCATATGAATAAAGTGAAAAAGACTAAACCTCCTCAACTACATCCCACTAGTTCTTAGCTGGGCGACCTTGACAAACCAACTAAACTGTACCTGCACTTCAGTTTCCTTTTCTGTAAAATGGGCATAATGATAGGCCTCTTTCAAAGAGTGCTTGTAAGATTAAGTGTATTACCACAGTCAAGGGCCTGAGACAGTGACTGGATCACAGTAAGGATTGCCACAACTATTAGCAGTGACCTGTAAATAATATATTTATAGAAATTCATTTGTATAGGACCAGCCAGTGGTATGGAGGTTAAGGCAGCTGGATCCCACATGGCCAGTTCCATAGTTCAAGTCTCAGACCCAGTGGTTTGAAAATCCTACTGGCATACATACATGCATGCCAAAATCCTGAGAGGAGAATGGAGGAGAAGGGATTACAACATGGCCCTCCTCCCATATGGAGTGATTTCTCATTTTCCCGTGCTCGTTCTCTCTCTCTCTCTCTCTCTCTCTGTCTGTCTTTTGCATGTGTCCTATAACAAAGACTCTTAAATATAAAAAAATTTAAAAAGAAATTCATTTGAATAATGTTCAAGTATATACAATGACTCAGACTTACCACACAAATGGGAAAATTTGATTGATCTGTTCTATACTGGAAAATGTATACATACATTTAGAACCTTCACTAGCTTGGCACCAATTGGTGAGGGCCTCAACATTCTATTACTCCCTTCTCCTCCAGCATAAGTATTAAATTGACAGGTTCAGGACTCGAACTGCAGTCAACTATGTGGGAGTCTAGTGACAACCATTACACCATTTACTGGTCCCAAGTTTAAGTAGTTTTAACCCTCCTTTGAAGCTTTGTGTGTACAAATAGTTCTTCACTGACATTGTCTCTTTCTTCCTTTTAGGTCGGATGGCTAATGCTTATTACTATGGGATCATCTCCTATCGAATCTGTAGTTGCTGCTGGCAATATATTTGTAGGACAAGTAAGTTATAATATCAAAAAACAAAACACCTGCTGAAATAGTCTGTCTCCAAAAAGCAGAATAAGAATCAAGATGTTATCATTTTGTTTTATTAGTGCAGAGAAAGAGAGTGTCAAAATCAGGAATCCCCAGTATTGGCAATGTCCAGATTCCAGAAAGGAAAGAGAGATCCCTTCCATGAATATGGTTTATACTAGCATGAATTAGATTCTTCAAAGTTTAAGGAGCATAAGGAGGGTTGAGTCATTCTATTAAAGCATGGGGCTTCTTATACAGAGGGCTCACAATTGTTTTCTGAATGTATTGAATTGTTAAGATTTCAGGCCAAGTCTTCAGAGGCTTGTAGCTCTTCCACTCGAATGGCCTTTACTAGCTCGAAGGTGCAAACATGTAACAAGCAGCCTCAGATTTTATTCTGTTGATAAAATGCCTGTGGCAATGAAGGAGATCAAGAAAGTTTTTCCATCGACATCCATTCAGCTGTGTAAACTTACAGGTCATTCTCAACTTGTCTGAACTGGTCAACAGTCTGACTTTGCTGAGCTTGAAGGAAAATGTTTTTAGGATTATTTTTTTCTTTCTCATCAAAGATAAGCTTTTAGCTACAATTTTCACCTCCCTGATCCATCACATCACAGGCTCTTTTGCCTGAAGTCCACTTTTGCAAAGAAATATGATGACAAGAGGTGTCTCTCAAAATAGCAGCATACCTAAGAGGTAAATAAGTAAGAAATGGTAACAAGCTACTCATCACTCAGAGGATGCAGCTTTAGGCTGAAGAGAATCACACACCAAGCAAACCAAGTGTGAATGCTTGCCAGCACCACTGCCCAAGGAAATTGAATCTGAAGAAAAAAATCAGCTCATCCAGAAAAACACATAGCCCCAGATTTTAGGCTTACAGCTGCTGCAAGCAGGCCAAGTCAGCCTTGCTCACCAGCCCAGAACACAGTTGTTAGAGCAGGAACCCACGCTTCCTTCTTAGAAGTTGCAATCATATAGTCATAAAATCTTTCAGGACTAATTAGGGCACCATCTCGAGTTGAGTGCTCCTACCTGTGGGGTTAGAGGGCTCGTGGACTGGGGCTCTATTTAGTCTATCAATGGAGGCTCAACACGTTCAATCTTATAGAACAATTAGAAATAATGAGGAGAAAATTGTAAAGTTGCACACATGCTCGTGCAGTGCTCAGTGTGATCCTTAATAGGCTCAGAGAACGGCAATTAATTACAGAAAGCCCCTCACCACGGGCTGTTTGTCCTCTTTAATTGGGCTCGAGACTTTGGAACTGTACTGTTCCATTTCTTTCAAGCCATCAGAAAGGGGTCTCTGATTCTCAATTACTAAAGTGCTGTGGCCACCTTTCCTTGTCATTACCGGTGCTTTGTTTGTTCATTCGTTTGTGCATATATACATACAACCTGTGTCTCTATTTCTCTGAGGTATCAGGAAACAAGTTCCAGATGGGAAGAGTCTCAGTGGCTTAGGAATCATCATTCCACAAGAGTAGGCCACTGGGCAGTTACTTGGTCAATCTTTCTAAAAGTACATCAAGTTATAGAATCCACTCCTGGGTTAGATGGAGGCTTCCTTACATGATTAGCCTACAAAGTTTGCAAAATTTATACACAACTGTACGTACACACTGACCTAGATTTCCAATGACTTGAATATTGAAGGTGTACATTCTTTTTAGAATGGTTCTTTTAGGTTTTTGCTACAGGACACGCGTGCTCACCAGAGAGACAGAGGGAGACAGAAAGCAAGAAATCACCTGCCAGGGGAGATGACCACACTGCAGTCTTTTCTCCTCCATTCTCCTCTTGGGATCTTGGGCACACATGCACATGCACCTGCCTTGAGTTTTAAGCTGCCGGGTTCAGGACTCGAATCACAGTCAACTACATGGAGTCCAGCGATGTAACCATTACACCGTCTGCTGGTTCCAGATGGTGCAGGTTCTTAAACTTGAGAGGCTAGCAGATGGCATAATGGTTACGTTGGTGGACTCCCATGATGTCAACCGTGGTTCAAGTGCCAGACCCAGTGGCTTGATGCTCATGCCAGGGGCATGTGTGCGTGCGTGCCCAGGATCCTGAGAAGAGAATGAAGGAGAAGGGATTGTGGTATGGCCATCCCCGCTGGGGCTGATTTCTTGCTTTCTCTTTCTCTCTGTCTCACCTGTAAGTGCATACCCTATAGAAAAATCTCTTAAAAAAATAAAAAAGAAGAAAAAGAAAAAAACTTGAAAGGGCATCAGAATCACCTGAAAGCCTGCTGAAACACAGATCTCTAGCCATACCACCAGAGTTTCTGACTTACTTAGTCCAAGAATTTCCTTTCTAATAAGTTCTCAGGGGAAGTTGATGGAGCTGGTCTGAGAGTCTCTCTTAGAAATATTGCATGAAAGAATATTATGAGTAGATTGGTAAACCTCTCCCTACCCTATCCCCAAGATTTAAAAGAGAACATCTAGTCACACTTCTTGTCTCCAGACAGAATCTCCACTACTGGTTCGACCATACTTACCTCACGTAACCAAGTCGGAACTCCATGCCATCATGACAGCCGGGTTCTCTACAATTGCTGGAAGCGTCCTAGGTGCATACATATCTTTTGGGGTAAGAATGTTTTGAAATTAACTTACAGAAAATCCATCCTCTTTCTTGGTATTGTTTTCTCTCTTCTTCCTTTTTTCCTTTATTTTTGAAGTTTTGGTATAGAGCATGTGTATTCACCAGTGAGAGACAGAAAGAGAGGAGGAAACGTGAGAATTGTCACCCTGGGAGTGGAAGGATGGCCACGCTGCAATCCCTTCTCCTCCATTCTCCTCTCAGACTTTGGGCATGCACACATAGGTCAGGGAGTTGAACTACACAATCAGTCATGTGGGATCCAGCTGCCTTAAACTCTACACCACCTGCTGGCCTTCTCTTTTTTTCTCTCTGCCTTTTTAATTGCTGATAGAAAAGAAGGTCAACGAATGTCCTTTTTGACACATAGCAAAAATTGGTCACAATTGCTCTGGCATTTAAATGGAGTGATCACTAAGGAGTTTGGGGGCTTCACTTTCATATATTTGTCACTTAAGCCTGAGTTATATCCAACCATAGCAAAATGAAATCCTATAATAAGGTTACTTTTGCTGAAAATGTAAATCTGTTTTAAAAACAAACAAACAAACAATTACTGACATTAGTAAAGGATAAGTAAATCGTGGTCCATGGGCCAAATCTAGATCACTCCCTGTTTTTGTAAATAAAGTTTTATTGGAAACTAGAGATTCCTATTCATTTGTCTATGGCAGCTTTCATGGTATAAAGTTGAGAAGCAGAAACGAGTAGCAATAGCCTGAAAAAACAAAAAATACCTCCTTGTGGCCTTTTAAAGAAAGTCAGCCATGTAGGAATTCAGTGCCTTAATCACCATGCCACCTGCTGGCCTCAGACAGCAAAAATTTTAAAAACTGAAGATTCCTATGGATGGCAAGTTTGAGAGCTGGCAGTCTACAACATAGACAGGGGAATGATGTGGTAATGGTACACATACCCCCCCAAGCAGAGAGTTCACAAGCCACACAGATACAACCCACAGTGGGAACAGTTAAGAATACAATCAGCACTGTGTGGCTCTGGTGACTAGAAGTTCTTTTAAGATAACTAAGTTTCATTCCAAACCTTCATCTAGTCCTTGGAAAGTCTATCTGTAGAAAGAAGGAAGAAGAGGGGTCAGCAGGTGGCATAGTGGTTAAGGTACTGAAGTCTCACATGGTCAACCTCATTTCGAGTCCCAGACCCAGCAGCTTGAAACTCACCGGGCGCTTGTGTGTGCCCCAAAGCCTGAGTGGAGAACAGAGGAAAAGGGGTTGCAGCATGGTCATGCTCCTTGAGGGGTGATTTTTTTCCTACGTTCTCTCTCTCTGTCTTTCTCTGTGTCTTCAGTGAGCACACGCATCCTATAGTGAAAATCTCTCTTAAAAAAGGAATAAGGAAGTTTGAGTAGATCCTTGAATGGTTCCTTCTGTCCCCACTGTAGAAATGCTGCCTCTGCAACTGTATGAGGTGGGATGGGCATGGGGAGGGAGGTGCTGACTCTGGGATTTTGAAAACACAGTGAAGAGAATCCAAAAATGACGTGATGGTGTACGGTTGGAAGAGGAAAGGGTAGACTTGCAATGGGAAAAACAGAAGTAGTTTTCAAAAAAGGAGACTCTGGGTCCCTGCTTGTTGTGTGAAGACACAAAGGACTTGAGGAGAGGGAAAGGGGCTTGGAGAGGAGAACGACTCCAGTACGTGAGTCATGAACGCTTTCTTGGCCCCTCCCTCCAGATATTCCCATCCACACTCATGGTGTGATGAAGTAGGAGCTTCGGGGACTATTCAGATGTTCCAAGGGACAAAGAGAGGTTGAGGAATCTTCCTTGAAAGTTGTTACACTGGATTAATTCTCTTGTCAAATGATCAGATTTCCGTGTGCGCTTCTTCTGGAGGAAATGGTCCATTAATACAAATTTCTCCCTCATCCCTTTGACTCGAAGGTGATATCCATTGATTTGATTCACTGAGCTGGAGACGTTTTTCCAAACCTCCAAAAACACTTCATCTTCTGGCATCGAATCCACTCCTGTACCCTCTGTTCCCTGGGAAGGTTTTGGGGCTGTTGCTTTCGACACAGGAGAAAAGTTGAATCTATTTACCTTCCAACATCACAGGTTTCATCCTCCCACTTGCTCACAGCTTCAGTTATGTCAGCCCCTGCATCGTTGGCTGTTGCTAAACTCTTTTGGCCTGAGACAGAAAAACCTAAAATAACCCTCAAAAATGCCATGGAAATGGAAAATGGGTAAGTGGGAAATGTTTACCTAATCAATGTTTATACAAGTTTGAGGAGGGGGAGCCCAAATTCAAAGAGTAACAGGCATTTGATAATTAGAGAACAATAACGATTTGAGTCCTGGACCCAGTGGCTTAAAACTCAAGGCAGGTGCATGTGCATGTATGCCCAGGAACCCGAGAAGAGAATGGAGGAGAAAAGATTGTGGCATGGCCATGGCAAATTGTGGTATTAAGTAAATTTCATTTCCCAGTGACTATTGAGAATTTCTTGTCCACACTTGAAGAAAACCTTTTTAAATAGCTGAATGTCAATAATAAATCTCTCTTTTTTTTTTTTTGGAGAGAGAGAAAGTGAAAGTTTTGTTGCTTTTTTTTTTTTTTTTTGGAGAGAGAGAAAGTGAAAGTTTTGTTTTGTTTTGTTTTTTTTGGCATAGGGCACATGCGCTCGCAGGAGAGACAAAGAGAGAGAAAGCAAAAAAAAAATCAGCCCCTAGGGCGAATGGCCACACCACAATCCCTTCTCTTCCATTTTCCTCTCGGGATTTTGGGTACACATGCAAACGTGCCCAGTATGAATTTTAAGACACTGGATCTGGGACTCAGACCAAGGTCCACAATGTGGGAGTCCAGCGACATAATCATTACACCATCTGCTGGCCCCATCTCTTTAACTGTTCATTGTAAAGATATTCTGTTGTAAATATAGCATAGTGTTCAATGAGCCCTCGTTTAAGACTATCAAAAAGCCACAGGATGGCCATTTCTAGAGGTCCTCACATAACAAGAAAGCTGGCTCATTTTCTTGTGCCCTTAGAAAAAGAAAGAAACACAAGAAAGACTAAGAGATTTAGAATGTTCTAATGTATTTCATAAGTGGGAGCCAGATAATGACACGGTGGTTACAAGATGACCTACCGAGAGACAATCCCCCATAGGAATGTTTCAAGTTCAAGTCCTGAGACCTCGATGTGTATTCCAAGCACATGCTTTCCCTTGATCCAGGGCTGGCTGAGGGCTGGGGATGGATCATGGCATTGGAACCATGTTGGGAAAGCTGTCTATCTGTCTGTCTGTCTCTCTCAGTCACTCATGAAGAAATAAACTTTTTATAAAAGTATTTAACTAAATAACAGAATTCATCAACTAACAGAAGTCAGAAATTTGTCACTTATTTGTACATAGCTAGAGTCCTATCCATGAGGAAAATATCAAGCTGCCAAAGAATACATCATGTAACTCCAACTCCACTTAGAAAGTTAGCAAATGAGGGACCAGCAGTTAGCATAATGGCTATGTCGCTGGACTCCCACGTAGTCAACCACGGTTCGCGTCCCGGACCCGGTGGCTTAAACTCACGCCAGGCGCGGGGGCGTGCATGCCAAAAATCCCTAGAGGAGAATGGAGGAGAAGGGATTGTGGCATGGCCATCCCCCCTGGGGGGTGATTTCTCACTTTCTATCTCTCTGTCTCTCTGTGTCTGTCTGGCGAGTGCACGTGCCCTATAGCAAAAAAATAAATAAATAAATAAACCTCTAAAAAAAAAGTTAGCAAATGAGCAAACTTACACAGACATGTGATATAAACATACAGAGAAAGTATGAAAGAAGGGAATGATAAGCAGGTTTTAGGGAGGCAGTACCTCTAAGATTAGTGGGGAGGGAATAAGATCAGGGATGAGCAGACATGGGGATTCAAAGGCGGTATGATGTTCCATTTCATACCACCATCATATGATGGATACTGATATCCCTTGAATCTTTAGTGTTTATGCCATGAATACTTTACAAAGGTTTTCTGGTAGTTATTTTTAATAAAAGTAATTTTAGGGACCAGTAGATGGCATAGTGGTTAAGTCGGCTTGAAACTCATGCCAGGCAGGTGTGCTATGCATGCTCACAATCCCAAGAGGAGAATGGAGGAGAAGGGATTGTGGCAAGGCCATCCCTCCCTGAGGGATGCTTTCTCACTTCCTCTCTCTCTCTCTCTCTCTCTCTCTCTCTCTCTATCTATCTGGCAAGTGCATGTGCCGTATGGTAAATTAAAAATAAAAGCCACGGTTTTATGAGACTTAGGTGAGTACATTAACTAAGACATAGGCCTGAAATGAGCCAGAGCTGATTATGCCATTTCTACATTTATGATATCCACCCACCAACCATGCCTTACTAATTCTGGAATTGCTATTTTTTGATAAAGAGATTCAAGGAATCTCCTAGAAGCTGCAACGCAGGGAGCGTCCTCCTCCATCTCGCTGGTGGCAAACATCGCTGTGAATCTGATTGCCTTCCTGGCCCTGTTGTCTTTTGTGAATTCAGCCCTGTCCTGGTTTGGAAACATGTTTGACTACCCACAACTGAGTTTTGAGGTATAATTCTATCATGCTTCTGCCCTGTGGTTTTTTTTTTTTTTTTCTGCCTTTGAAAATAAAATAGCTGGGGCGAGCAGGTGGCACAATGGTTAAGGTGCTAGACTCCCACATGCCCAACCACGGTTTGAGTCCCAGACCTAGTGGTGTGAAAAATCACACCAGCATGTGTGCACGCTGCCCCAAATCTCAGGAGGCAAATGGAAGAGAAGGGGTTGCAGTGTGGCCATGGCCCCCCTGGGGTGGGAGGGTGATTTCTCACTTTCCCTCTCTCTCTGTCTCTCTCTGGTGAGTGCACACATCCTATGACCAAAACAAACAAAAAAAAAAGGTTTGTGAACAGCCTTCCCTAACTACCTTCAGAGTTTGCTTACACACTGCAAAAGTTTTACGTGCATTCCCCCATGTCCCCACTTGCCTTTAATCTCTGCTCCCTATTACGTGCCTTCCACCCCACCTCCCACCCTATTACAGGCAATCATTCTCTCCTGATCTCTTTCCCAAGAATCTAGGTTACTTCAGATGACCCATTCCCAGCCTTGATTCCTGATGGCTAAAGATAGGCAAGGGAATGTGAGGGTGTTTCTGTGCCTAAAGGAGACACAGAAGGGACAGAAATAGTCCTGTCAGTGAGGATGAGTCAGAAGAACTAGACGCAAACTACTATTCTGATCAAGTACCAACTTTTGATTCTGACAGCTAATATGCTCCTACATCTTCATGCCCTTTTCCTTCATGATGGGAGTAGACTGGCAAGACAGCTTTATGGTTGCCAAACTCATAGGGTATAAGACATTCTTCAATGAATTTGTGGCTTATGAGCAGCTCTCGAAATTTATCAATTTGAGGAAAGAAGCTGGACCCAAATTTGTGAATGGCGTGCAGCAATATATGTCGGTGAGTAAATATTTTGATTTTTTTAGTACATGTCTTCGCTGCATGTATACATTCGTCATGTATTGTCAAGTGCCTACGTGTGGGGCACTTGGGTGCATCAAGCAACAGACTGATCCCAAATCCCTTGATGCCATGGAGTTCATAGTGTACATAGCACCTTATACTTTTCAGTTACATTGAATGAATCACATGCATGTAGGGGTAGGGGGTGGGGGTGTGTGTAGGAAAACACCACCACTAATCCTCACCACTGTGATCACTGACTCTGGAGGACTATGGACATAGACCCAGAGTCACGTGAGCTGCAGGCTAGAATCAATCAACAAATATTTACGCAACGTCTTCTGTGTGGTGTGCTAGATACATGAGGCCCCTGCCCTCATGGGGTTGATAGTTTAATGATCATAAAGATCTCTTCTTCTAGTTACAGGGATACTGTGAGCTCAGAGAAATTGCCTAAATGCAGCACAGTGCCTACATACCCCTAAGACAATAACACTCCATTGCTATTCTTCAAGAGGATGAGGGAGGAGAAAAAGCTCAGGGTCTGTGATCTGAAGTGCTCCAGAAAAGCATGAGAGGCTTGAGACTTCAGGTCATGGCTGGCGCCTTGGCACAATGATAAACTGCTATGCATGGTGAACCAGATCCATGTGACTGACCGCATGTCGTTTTTGTTGTTTTTAATTTGCCAGAGAGTACATGTGTTCATTAGAGAGAGACAGAGAGAGGGGAAGTGAGAAGACACTCCCGTGAGGGTGGTCATGCTGCAATCCCTTTTCCCTCCATCTCCTTCCTTTTGGGATTTTGGACATACATGCACACATGCCAAGTCTGAGACTCAGACCACACAGTCAGCCATGTGGGATCCAGCTGCTTTAACCAACATGCTGCCAGCTGGCCCTGTGGTTCAAATCCCAGCCCTGGCATCTTGAGACCAATGTCCATGAACCCGTAATCCTGATAAGATGGAGAAATGGAGGAAAAAGAATTGTGTTGTAATCATGTCCCACTGGGGGTTACAATCTCTCACTCTCGAGCAATAAAATTTTAAAAAAGAAAGACTTCAGATCCTTGTTGGCATAAGGAACTTCAGTGAGGCTAGATTTGCAGCTGTGTCTCCAACTTTTTTCACTGAGAAACAGAATTGTCACACATGCAAATTCTTAGGGACATAGTGAATATTTATCACCATCACCATCATCGCTCAAACAATCCACTTGGAATGAATGTCCCAATTACATTTGTTTGTAAAAGGAAAGGGGCTAGAGCCAGCAAATGTTGGGAAGGTTAAAGCAGCTGGATCCCACATGGCCGACTGTGTAGTTTGAGTCATGGGCCCAGTGACTTGAAAAATTACACCATGCATGTGTGCATGTATGCCCAAAATCCCAGAAGGAAAATGGAGGAGAAGGGATTGCAGTATGGCCATCCCTCTCTCTTTCCTTCTCTCTCTGGGGAATGCACACACCCTATAGCAAAAGTTAAAGAGAGAGAGAGAGAGAAGGGGTGAAAAGCATGCTGCCCATGGTTCAAATCATTGAGACAGCTCAGCCCCACACATCACGGCTATCCCTACCTGCCCCCCACAGACCAAATGTGCAGATTTACCCCGCGCACCGCACAGCGACGGTGGCTGGCTCCAGGAGAGCTGTGTTTGTATTTTACAGTCGGGCATTTTCACCCACACGTGGCCGAGCAGGGGCTCTGCAGGTCTCCGTGTTTCCCGCGTTCATTCTTTAGCTAACCTCCCAGTGGGGCTTAGCCGATTACCCTCATTGTTTGGTTGCTATCAAAACCAGTTTGTTTTCCTGCCAAAAGTAAACAATAGGCTAAATTAAGTGAAACGTGTTCAGTCCTCAACTGCCAGTTGCCAGGAGAAAATAGCTTTGTTAATGAGCAAAGCGAGTTCTCAGTTCTGGCATTCATTGCTGGGTGAGTCTGTGAAAGGCTGTTAAGAGGGGACAGGCAGAACAGTTGAGCTGATTCGAGTTTGGGGGTGAGCCCAGTCAAAGGCAGGTGCAAAAGGGACATTTGGAAATATGCGCTCAATGGTCCCTGCTATCATTGAGTCATGAGTGGAAGAGGATTTGTTTCTCCAAATGGCTAATTTACAAAATGGACAAAATTAGGACAAGTCCCAGCAATATCTGCTCATCCACCAAGGAGTGGCAGGGTACGTCCCCACAGTCTCCTGGAAAAGGTGCCACATGACTGAAACATGCATGCCATTGGAGTATATCCATTGCTAACCTCCAGCTAAAATAAGAGGTCAGAATTCTAGGTCATGGCACCCATGTACCTAGAATTATTTCCTCTTTCATAAAGATAATATTAATAGTTCGCATTGTTTTTGTATGACATGTAATACATACCATGGTATAGAATTTAAAAGGTACAAAGGGCAGTGGACACAGGTGGCTGTACAGTGGTGACACAACTGGACCCATCTGGAAAAGGTCTTGGAGTCATGTTCTAGGACCTCCCTGAGCATGCTGGGTGCACACGCACCCACTGTCTGGGCCAGCTGAGACCGGGTGGACTGGTGCATGAAGGACTGTTGGCGATATCTATCTGCCTCTCTCTTTCTCTTTCTCTCTCCCTTTCAGAAGAGATAAATAACCTTTTTAAAAGTCCCTTTCAAAAGATACAGAAGGGTATAGAGGAAAAAATAAGCTCTTCTCCCTGGAGCACAAAAAGCTCACTGTTCTTACCCCTGTTCTCTGCACACGATCGCATGTCTCGGCACCTTTCCGTTGTCAGTGCCTGTGACGTAGCACCTGACTATAGAAGACTTCCATAATCCACTTTAGGCAATCGCTTGCTGATGAGCAGTTACTAATGTTCCGTGATAGGAAGTAGCACTACAAGGACCATCCTTGTCCAGACGGCATCTTTGCTCAAGGAGAGCTGTGGAGTGTATTATTATTTCCTAGTGCAATGCACCACTTCCCATCACCTTGCACATGTGTGGGCAAAGGCAAAGCAGAGCCATTCAGCCTCCCTTTCTCCTTGTAAAACCACATCTGGCCACATCTGTGCAGCCCCACTCCACGAATGCTCAGAAGGGGGAAGGGAATAGCAAGCCCTCTGCCCCACCTCTCTCGCCTCAGTCTCTTAATAAGCGTGCCTGCTTTTAAGGTCAATTGAACTAAACAAAAAGCACTAGACAGAGCAGAGGACAAGGACAAGCTTTTCCAGGAACCGCGGACTGCACAGATACTTGAAATATATTTTTCCTGCCTGCAATATGTAAGCCGACTGAAAATATCAACAAGAGAGTTCTCAGAAACCATGAGAGAGAAGAGCAGCCTTATAATCAACAAAAAACTTTCCACGGCCACTTGAAGTCTTGAATATGAGCTTTCAAAACTCCAGTTAGCAAAGAGAAAAGTACTGCTGCTTTTGTATATAGCATTTGCTTGGTTTGTTCTTTGATCAAGTTATAGATTTTTCAGGAGATTGCAAAAGAAAATCATTGCCTCAGTTGAGTGCTTCTCGGGTAAGCAACAGCGTCCTCTAAATATTCCAAGCCCTCTAGAGTCAGTCTCTCCACCTAGGCAAGAACTACCCCTTGACTGCTGGAATAGAGATGGGGCCATGCATGTGCTTTTATGAGCTCATCTTTTATTTTCTCCCTCCCCTGTGAAAGGACTGTTCACTCTCTCACTTCCAAATAGGCGCTCTAACATTTCCCTAGGGTGCCCAGAGCTCAGGCACAGAGGAAGACAAGCATACACACCAGAGCAAGGCAATAAAAAAGACATCCCTGTGATATCTGAGATTTTTCCTTCTTACCAGTGTATTTTCTTTTAAATCATAGCCTGTGTCCTGAGTTACAATTTGCATACAAAATAAAAGGCCCATGTTTAGTATCACGTGTGTAAACACAACCACAGTCAAGCTAGAGATAATCACACTTAAAGATCTTCCTCGGGACCAGCAGTTGGCTTAATGGCTATGTTGCTGGACTCCCACATAGTCTACTGTGGCTCAAGTCCCTAACCCAGTGGCTTAAACTCATGCAGGACACATGTGCGTGCGTGTCCAAGATCCTGAGAGGAGAATGGAGGAGAAGGGATTGCGGCGTGGCCATCCCTCCTGGGGGCTGATTTCTCACTTTCTCTCTCTCTCTCTCTCTGTCTTTCTGGCAAGCACACATGCCCTATAGCAAAAAACTCTCAAAAAAAAAAAATCTTTCTCATGGCCCAACTGCAGTGAGGCATGCTAGTGAACACTGTTGCTTGGTAGGCCGAGGTCACATGGGAGGGCCAGATTCAGTTCCCACAAAGGTCACGGTTAGCATGGGCAACATAGCAAGACCCAAGACCCTGTGTAAAACAGCTGGTGTGGTGGCATGCACCTGTGGCCCTAGCTGCTGAGGAGGCTAAGGCAGGATGATCGCAACATAGAAAAATGCTATCTCAAAAAAAATATATATTACTCATAATCTTTTGTAGTCAATGACCCCTAAAGACACAGCCTTGGGCAACCAATGATTTTTCTTTCACTGTTAATTTATTTTGCTTGTCCTAGAGCTTTATATAAATGGACTTGCTTAGTATTCATGTTGTTACTTATATTATTTTCCTTTCTCTTGTAGGATGGTACTCTCTTTTATGGAAACTCACAATTTATGTAACGATTGCCTGTTTTTTCTTTTGTTTTGTTTGGGCTTGTTTGGGGGTTTTGCTTGTTTATTTATTTAAGAATTATTTATATAATTTTATTTTTATTATTATTACTAACTTGCTGTAGGGCATGTGAACCCACCAGAGAGAGACAGAGAGAGAAAGAGGAAAAATGAGAAAGCAAGTCACCAGGTCCATGTCTTGAACCATAGTCAGCCGTATGAGAGTTCAGTGCCTCAACCACCACACCACCTGCTGGCCCCTGGGCTTGCTTTAAGACAGATTCTCATTATGTTACCATCCTCCTGCCTCAGATTCTGAGCTAGGATCACAGGCATGCATCACCATACCTAGCTGTTTTGTTTTTGTTTTTGTTTTGGCCATAGGTTGTGTGCACTCACTAGAGAGAGACAGTGAGAGGGAAAGTGAGAAATCATCCTCTGGGGGGAAGGCCACACCACAATCCCTTCACTCCATCTCCTCATGGGATCTTTGGCATGCAAGCACACTAGCCCAGCATGATCCTCAAGCCATGGGGACTGGGACTTGAACCGTAGTCAGCCATGTTAGAGTCTAGGACCTTAACCACCAAATCACCTGCTGGCCACTACCTGGCTCTTTTAAATTTTTTATTCATTTATTTTTATTAGGTTTTTGCTATAGGGCATGTACAAGAGAGAGATCAAGGGAAAATGATAAATCACTCCTTCCAGGGAGAATGGCCATACTGCAATCCCTTCTCTTCCATTCTCCTCCTGAGATTTTGAGCATGCATGCATATGCACCTAGCATGATTTTCAAGCTGCTGAGTCCAAGACTTGAACCAATACCGGCCATGTGGCAGTCCAGTACTTTAAACACCACGCTACTTGCTGGCCTCATCCTGGCTCTTTATAATTAATTCATTTATTTTTTATTACATAAAGTATTTGAAAGAAAACAGATCAAAACTAAATAAAATTGAATTTGGTTGATGGATGACAGAGAGAAGAGTGTCACTGCAGAGTGAAAGTTAGAATTACAGAAGATACCATGGAGTTATGCCCTTTGGAATTACTGCAACCTCTATCGAAAATTGTGTCTGGCACCTACAGGTGGCATTGAAAAATTACTTATTAGCATATTTCTGTCTGAAGTCCACGGGACTGCCTTTCCTGAGACTACTCAAAACAGTCATTCTTTGGGGATTGCTCCAGACCCTGTTCTAGGATGATAGATGGGCACTTTGGAGATTTTGTGTATCTATTTTTTTTTTGTATGATGCATTCAAGTCATTGTCCCTAAGTCCTGTTCCTCCCTATGGAAGCATTTTTTGTTTTAGACAGAGTCTTGCTATGTTGCCTAGGCCAGCCTTAAGCTCACAGTCTTTCTTCCTCAGCCTCCTGGGTCACTGGGATTACAGGTACATGCCACCCTGCCTTTGTGTTGGACCAGGAAATGTACCAGGCCTTCCAAGTGGTCCCAGTCTGTAGAGCACAGCTTCTTAGCAGCATGCACCACCACAGCCGGGCCCGTCCATTGCCAACTGAAGAACATTTGGGTTGTTTCTGGCATAGGACTATTACGAGTAAAGCTGCTTTAAATTTTCATGTATTGGCTTTTCATGGGCATGTATTTTTATTTCTACTAAGAAAAATGCTGGGTCACACAGGCAGTGTGTGTTAACTTAATAAGAAACTGTTACACTGTTTTAAAGACAAGCAGGCTGTGTGTGTCATTTTACATTCCTGCCAGTGATGTGTAAGCATTCCAGTTGCTTCTTGTCCTCACCAGCACTTGGTGTTGGCAGTCTTTTAATTTTAGCCATTTCAGTGGATGTACATGGTATCTTGTTGTGGTTTTAATTTGCATTTCCTGGTGACTAATGATGCTGATCATCTTTTCACGTGCTTGTTGGCTTTTGTATATCTTTGATGAAGTATCCAAATATTTTTATGTGTTTTTTTCTGCGTGTTTATCTTATGATTGAGTTAAAAACCATTCTTTATTCATGCTGAATGAGTCCTTGGTCAAATAAATGTAATGCGAATATTTTCTGTCACTAACTTTTGTGTCTTCAGAATCTAGTACTATGCCTGGTACATTATAGCCAGTAGTACATCACATAGAATATTAGAAGTTAACACTGGGCGCCGGTAGACGATGTGGTGGTTAAGGGTGGACTCCCACATGGCCACCCATGAGTTCCAGACCTAGCAGCTTGCTTTCTCATTCCCCCCCCCTCTCTGTCCTTCTCTGATTACATTAAAATAAATAAATATATAAAGTTAAATAAAATAATTCTTCTAAAAAAAAAGAAGTTAACACTGAGCAGCAAGTAGCATTTGTTGAGGCCAGTGCTACCAATTCCAGGCACTTTGTAGAGAGACTCTGAATCCACACAGCCCCCCTCCACCTTTCATAAAAATTCAAGATGGGAGTTAGGGAGATGAGAGATGGGGAGATAAGAAAATGAGTACAGAAGGCAGCAAGTATTTGACCCCATGCACTGTGCATTTATTTATCATTATTGGTTCTATAATCCCACATTATGAAGCCCAGCTGATGTCCGGTTTGTTAAGCTGGGTAAGATAAAGTGTATCTTTGGTTTATGCTTGCTTCCAGATTCGTTCTGAGACCATTGCCACTTATGCCCTTTGTGGTTTTGCCAATTTCGGTTCCCTAGGAATAGTGATCGGCGGACTCAGTAAGTAAAAAGACTATTATTCAACAATAGATGTGACATAAACATATATTTGGATCTCCATCTTGCTCTGTAACGTTATTTGTGTCAGGGGGAAAAAAAAGGTCCTGCGACAACAGTAAATCCTCAAGGTCTATATTTTTGTCTCTGCTCTACAATATAGTTTCCTGTGTATACTCATGCTAACCTCTGGAAGAATTTGCTCAAACATACAGGGTTTCTCTCAACCCTGGCATGACACATAGGTTTCACTTCATGTGCTAATGCCAATAGATTTGTAATGGCTACTTGGAGAAAGAGGGCCACTGGAAGTTCAATGGAACAATGCTGTTATTGATTAGTGATGTCTGTCCAGGGCACAGAAGTAGGTGTTGGCAGTGGAGCTGCAGATCATCTAATTAGTCAGTCCCATCTTGCAACCCATTTGCCTTGTCATGCTCTCAGTATGTTATGAGCCCTTTGTATGAAAGTTAAGATTTGTTTCTTCTGTGGAGAATGAAAACCTATAAGCATTTTGGTGTGACAAACCTCTTCTCTTCCTCCCACATCAGATAAATGCTCTAGATGTTAAGTTTATCACTAAGTTCTTGAATTTCATATTTCCCAGCTCAGTTAATACATTTTTTCTTTTTTTTCTTTTTGGAGAGGTTTTTGCTATAGGGTATGTGCGCTAGCCAGAGAGACAGAGACAGATGGAGAAACAGAAAGCGCCGAGATCACCCCCCCAGGGGTGATTGCCACACCGCAATCCCTTCTCCTCCATTCTCTTCTCAGGACCTTGGGCACGCACACATGCCTGGCATAAGTTTAAGCCACTGGGTCCAGGACTTGAACTGCGGTTAACTACACAGGGATCCAGCAACATAGCCATTACGCCAACTGCTGGTCCCAATTCAGTTAATACATTTTTAAAAAGACAACTGACCTGTAACCTCAGTCCCAGAACAATTTTCACAGGTTAGGAATTTGGATTTCTAATCAATGGCCTTAGCCTTAATCTCATATTCCTCCATCTATGTTTCTCAGCATCCATGGCTCCTTCCAGAAAGCGTGACATCGCCTCAGGGGCACTGAGAGCTCTGATCGCTGGGACCATGGCCTGCTTCATGACAGCCTGCATCGCAGGTACCGCATCCCATCCTTTATGTCCTGCTGCCCACAGGATGGCAGCTTTCAGGGAAGGCATGTCTCCAGTGTCAGGGGAGGCATGTGCTGTAGCACACGCCACTGCAGAACGCAAAGTCGGAGCTACTGTCCAGCATATTGTAAAAAATGTGCGGAGTGTGGTGGAGAAGCTAAGAACAGGAGCGGTCAGTGACCTCATTAATTCCTACAATAAAGAGCACTCTGTTCCACTTCCAGGCATTCTTTCCAGCACTCCTGCGGATATCAACTGCCATCACATTTTAGAGAACGCCTTCAACTCCAGTTTATTGAAAAACACAACTGAAGTGGTATCTTGTTGCCAAAGTCTATTGAACAGGTATTGTATTCCTGATTGTAACTACTTCATACTCCTCTATTAGTCATTGATTAAACCTAAAGACCCTATCGATGTATTCTTATTACCCCACCTCTTAATGAACTTATGCAGCAATTTTAACCACTTTTACCTTCATTCTTTTCAGAAAAGACTAGAAGCTATATGTGATATCGCTTAAGCATTTAGCATGTGCCCAACTGTGCATTAAGGCATTTTATATGAACTGGCTCAGTTAAACCCTCCAACCAGTGTTTAAGTTGAATGAACATTATTGCTTTTTCTTTTTTGCATTCAGTAAAACTGAGGCTTAGGGAAGCTATGTCTATTCAAGTAAAATTAGTGCCAGCAAAATTGAGATACAAAAGTTGGGTCTATCTGCCACAAAGCCCATGCCCTTTACTGCTACCCTCTACTGCCACCCTGTTGACACAGATCCAGGCTGACCTGACAGCACAAATGATGGGCTACAGTAGATGAGTAGATGAGACACCACCAGTGACCCGTGCTGGTTACCCTGACCCTGTCCAGTTTTCTATTTGCAAAATCATCATTTCTGCCTAGTTGCCCTCCTCAATGTGCAAGGTTTTTTTTGTTTTTTTGGTTTTTTTTTTTTTTTTCTTTTTAATAAGGATCAATTCTATCCTTTCCTTGTTTAGCCTGGAGGAAGTAAGGGGAATCCTCAAAGCCACCCAAAATGTGAGAGCCAGAACTAATTCCCTTGGTGCCTCTGTCCTTAACCCACTCTAGCCAGAATGCAAGAAGTACAGCTTCCTGCCCTGTACTATTTTTAATGTATTATCTCCTCATCTACTGTTTCTACATCTAAGACTCAACTAACTACTGGATTCTACTTCCCACCAGCACTATTGCCACTGGTCCCGGTGCGGTCATCCCAGGAGGAAACCACAGCATGTCTTCTTTGAAAGGCTGCTGTGGATTGTTGAAACCATCCACATTTAATTGCAGCTGGATCCCTAACACATTTTGAATTCAACCACTTTACCAGTGGAACTCTGAATAAGGATACTGAATTTTCTGCTTTGGAAAGGAAAACAAAAAACAAGGAAGAAATTATTGTTTACAGATTAATACTTTCATCTTGGAATCACCTTTAATTGCAAGGAGAGAAGAAAAACGGGAGTCAAGTCTTCAGAGCTACAGCATCTTCCTCATCCCTTTCCCTCTCCAGCCCGCCTCTTTCCTATTGAGAACTCCCAAGTGGGTATCAATCTCAATCCCAAAGATGTTTCCTGACCTTCCATTTTTTAGGGCATTTCATCAGAATACAGATATAAATGGTGGCTCCCATCAACTGGGGTATGACTCAGTCACGCATACTTCGTGTGCTGAATGAGTTTCTAAGTAGTTCAGAATAACTTCGTTTAAATGCGCCTTATATGAAGTCACTCTGCAGTCACTGTAGCTTACCCAAAATAGTCTGAACTTGAATCTCATATGGAGGAAGACTACTTATCAGCCATCTACTCATTTGCTACCCTCAAGAAGTCCTGAAGAATTCAAGAGTCTTTTGGGAAAGCAAATAGACTATATCACAACCAGAATTTCAACCTCTTGCACGTTGAGAGTTTTATTAATCAGCTTACACTAAATTGTGCTGCAGTGACAAATAACAACTCAATGACTTGCAATTTTTTTCACTCACATTACATGTTATAATGGTTGATTTTGACTGTAATTTGTGTTGTCTTTATTTCCAGGATCCAGGCTAAAGGAGCATCCCCCATATGGGGCAAGTTGCTCCTAAGACAAGGTAGGAGATAACATGATGATGGTTCTTAAAAATTCTGCCAGGAAGTGATGCCCTTTACTCGCTCTAGCCAAAGCAAGTCCTTTGATATGCATGTTATCGGTGACCATAGATGAATTATTGCCATAGGGAGGGATAGTGAATACTGTGTATGCCACGAAGGTACGTGATATTCATGTCTTCCTTCAAAGAGTCAGCCTATTGTAAGGCATAATTGTAGGCCTATTGATGTGCCGACTTGGTTATAGTCCCTTGTGACAAGACTAGAAAACAGCTACTCTTTAGTCAAAAAGCCATGTAAAGACCAGCTGAGGGAGAAAAACCAAGTCCTGTTGAGACCTGAAGACCTTTTTTTTTTTTAGAGGTTTTCGCTATAGAGCGCATGCGCTCACCAGACAGACAGAGACATAGAGACAGAAAGCGAGAAATCACCCCCCAGGGGGGATGGTCACACTGCAATCCCTTCTCCTCCATTCTCCTCTTGGGATCTTGGGCACGCATGCACACGCGCCCAGCATGAGTTCTAAGTCACCGGGTCCAGGACGCAAACTGCGGTCGACGACGTGGGAATCCAGTGACATAGCCATTACGCTAACTGCTGGTTCCCAAAATCTGAAGACTTTTCACTGATACTTCCTTTGACTAGGACAGCATCTGCATCACACTTGTGTAATGGGTGTCAGTGTCTCAGAAGAAAATTCCAGAGACAAAGGTGGAGTACTCTAGCGAATTGCTCATCACTGTTGTCCTTAGCAGGCAGGGAGCATATTTTGTGAAAAAAAAAAAAAACACACATCAGTGACTCTGAGTCAAAAAGTAATGCACAAGAAACTCCGAATGTGAAAAAATTCTAAACTATTTTAATTAACTTATTTTGTTCATGTTTTTCCTATGTTCATGCACCACGGTAATTTTTGTTATGTGTAAATAGTTGATTTTCTGTTGCTGGTGGTGGTGATGAGGAGGAGACTAAACACTCAAAGGACTCTATCCCTGAAGTACAATATACTGAGATGTTTGTAGTTACTGACCGTTTGTATCCATTTTTCTTGAACTCGATGTGCCCTTTCAGTCTTCACACTTTATTTTAGAAAAATATATTTATGTGGTTTTCGCCATTCTCTATGTTTTGTTGTCACGTTTCATATTCATAATAGCCTATGCCATATGACGTCTTGGTTCTATATTGTCTGCTCTGGCTATTATTTTCTCTCTAATTCTTTGTATCTCTTAGCATCATTCTATTCCACTGTATTCCCAAGAATCTCTACAAGAATCTCTTCGCTGCTTCTAGAATGCCTCTCTAGCCCACTTGTTTTTTCAATTATGAGAGAATGCATGCACTCACCAGAGAGAGGGAGAACACCCAGTGGGATGTGGTTATGCCACCGTCATTCTTCCTCCATTTCTGCCTCCCATCAGGATTTTGGGCACTCAGGCACAGGCACCCAGCATGCTTTTCAAGCTACTAGTGGAAGCCTGGATTCAAATCTCAGTCAACCCTGTGGCATTAGGCTCCCAATCACTCTGCTTAACCACTGCACTATGGGACCAGCCCTCCAATTAGTTTTTTAAAACTGGATTTTGTCTTTTCTATTATATGAATATTTGTAGTTCTTCTCTGAGCTCTTTACTATTAGTCTCATTATTATTTCATGGAAAACTTCATTGTTACTCTATCAAATCTGTTTGTTTACTAATTGCGATTGCTTTCCAAATTATGAAAAGCAATCGCAGTTTGTAAACAAGCAAACAGATCAAGTGTGCATGTGGGGAGGGGGGGCAGGTATGTACATACATAGCTAAATCTTTCTCCACACCCTGTCCACCCTAGCTCCCCTTCCAGTCCACACCACTCAGATTCTCATTGCTAATTGCGGTCACACAACACCTCTCTCCTTACTTATAAGAAAGTGGGGAATGTGTTGCTGGTGCACAAATAGACCGAGTCTGTTTACATACTGCCTTCAAGTTCCTTTTCAATTGGCAATAGTTTAGGACACTCCTACAAGTCATTATCATAGTTCTAACGCTAGTCTTCCCTTCCCCTTGTTGTGTGTATGTGCGGGTGCATACATGCATGTTCAATTCTACATAAATAAAAATCACACTGGGAAAGGGAGACAATGAGACATTTCTTTCTTTTGTTTTTTCGTAATTGCTGTCCTCCTTCTCTCCCCTGTCTCTGACCCCCCATACACTGGTAACCCAAGTTAAATACATAGCCTTCTGTACTTTTTGCAATGTCAGGCCATATTTTACAAGCATATATGTATGTCTGTGAGGATCAAATGGTAGCTTTATGACTGGAATTACTGAATTTCTATGTCACTTACTTTTCTTCTATAATAGTCTTTGTAGATATTTCTTTAATTCCACTGGCAAAACTTGCGGTCTTTTTCAAAGATTAAAATAGCCTATAGCAGGCCAGCCATGGTGGTTAAGGTGGTTGAATCTCACATGGTATGGTGGCTAAGGTCACTGAATCTCACAGGTCCAATTGCATGGTTCATGTCCTGGACCTGGAGGCTTGAAAACTATGTCAGACACGTGTATGCATACATGTCCAAAATCCCAAGGGGGAGGGGAAATGGAGGAGAAGGGATTGTGGTGTGACCATCCCCCTTGGTGGTTTCTCTCTCTCTCTCTCTCTCTCTCTTGTAAAAACACATTTCCTATGGCTAATTTAAATAAATAAAATAGCTTATTGCATATTATATTTATTATAATATGAGTTTGTTTACATATTGCCTTCTCCTTCCTTTTATATTATAT